AGGTTTATTCCACTGTTTATCTGGAAAAACATGGGCTAACACATAGGAAAATTGTGGAGCTGAATGTCATGTTTGGATTTCGACTACATGAAGGGACTTCTTTCAGTCTTTGCCTCCCAGAATGCTCATGATTCATCTCCTCTGTACTAAGCATCTTTCCTCAGCTAGCACCACACAGGTCACTGTTTAGAATCATTGAATTTTACAGGACAGAAGGTGGCCATTCAATCCATCATGTTTGTACTGGCTAGTTTGATACATGGAAGTGCCTTGTCAGAGTTTTTAATGTCGCTCGTCGACGAATTGTAAACCTCTACCAGCTAAGCAAGCCGGTGGTGTTAAGACGAGTGGGCAAAAACAGAACAGCAGGGCCTACCACAGTGCAAAACCCAGTGAGGGCAAACACCCACCATCTAGGACTTGGACTGGAAACGTCTCATCATCTGATGTGTTTTGTCATTGGGGAGGCCATTCAACAACAAAAAGGACATCCACGTGGCTCCCAGACCTCACGCCTGACAACCGGACTGGGAGTTCATAGGCAGGGGTCATCGTCATTAGGTCTCTATCTAGCCAAGAAGACCGAATAATGGATGTTAAATGGCATTTGGTACTTATTGCATGATGCTGCCACTACGCACGAGTGGAACTTGTGTAACCAGTATCCCCATCCCGCAATTCTTTCGACATCACCCTAACTTGAATTAGGGGTCTTGTGCCTATCTGAACGGGGCCAGACCCACATGGATCTACAGCTGTCTCGCACCTTCTTTCTGAAACCAGCTAACAGTACCGCTCCAGCCATAACCACAAATGGTCAATTACTGAATTCCGTCGGTCAATCAGCCAGCCAATACCATCACTCCAGCTGCAACCGAGAGTGGCTGTTTGCTCTTTCTGGCGGGGCCTACCGGAGGCACGACCAACAGTGTGTTGGGGAAAGCTACATAAAAACCAACACCATAGGGAACCAGTCGGGCAAGGCTCTCTCAGGAGACCCATCTAAGAGAGGCATAGTTATTCCTGCCAAAGAGCTACGCAGCTAGTCCCATTCTCCAGCCCCATCTCCATAGTCCTCTATATTCAGATATGTATCCAGCTCTCTTTTGAAACCTCCTATGAATCTAACTCCACCACTGTGCCAGACAGCACATTCCAAATCCTAAAAACTTGGACAGGAGACAGGAGGTGAAGCTTTTCAGTGATGCCTTCTGTGGCCAAAGAGGACACAGTGTTACTCCTATATTCAGGTGGCAGATGAAGACTGAATACTTTGGTGGAGTACTAGCAAGGCTACCAATCACCTATAGAGCCATACTCAGATCAGCACCTTCAGGAAAGCACAAACCAGCTACTCCAATGCCATTCAGACAAATCCACCCCTTGGCAATTTTCTGCCACTGAGGTTTTCTCAGCTTGTGTGCTCCAGGATGAATAGGAAGCCTTCCTCACAAGGGAGGAGGTCACCACAGAAGAAAGGTCATCCTGTTTGTGCACTCCTTCATATGCATAGTTATCAAACATTTCCTTTCTTTAGGCCTGCATTCATTACAACCGTCAGTATTAATGTGTTTTCATTTCACACAGGATACATCACTCTGCAAACAGGACAAGCTTCAACTCAAATTTACACAACAGTTTCAGGACTGACAGACAGGAGTGGAAATCAAATCCCTGACACACCCAGTGCATTACTGGGTAAGTTCTGCACTGTCAGAGTTGCTGTTTTTTAGATGAGAAATTAAACTGAGGACCCTCTCTGCCCTCTTAAGTGGGTGTGACATGGTTAATTCAAAGAAGTGAAGGAGGAGGTCACTTGAGATGACTAATATTTATCCATCCAACCATCACCAAAGCAGATTATCCGGTCACCATTACTTTGCTTTCAGCGAGAGCTTACTTTGTGCAAATTGGCGGCTGTATTTCCTAATTTTCAACATTGACTATAGCCTAACACAGCAAAACAGCACAGTGGCTCAGTGGTTAGCACTGCTGCTTCACAGCACCAGGGACCTAGGTTCAATTCCAATCTTGGGTAACTGTTTGTCTGGAGTTTGCACGTTCTCTGTGTGCCTGCATAGGTTTCCTCTGGGTACTCTGGTTTCCTCCCACAATCAAAGATATGCGGGTTAGGTGGATAGGCCATGCTAAATTGCCTGTGGTGTCTAGGGATGTATAAATTAGGTGGATTAGCCAGGCTAGGAATAAAATGGGTGGAGTAATGGGATGTTCTTCAGAGGGTTGTTGCAGACTCAGTGGGCTGAATGGTCTCCTTCTGCACTGTAGGGATTCTATGAAAACCACTTTGCAACAACACTATAGAGACAGTATACAACTATTGATGGTCAGGAGCAAAACCCCCAGCCGAAGGCATCAGAAAGAGCACCCACGACTGAACCTCAAGCACACTGGAAATATCATATTCATCATACAGTCACATTAGAGCCATGTGGTTGCTCTTTCTTTTGCATTATGTGCAGTCAAGCTTTCACAATTGTGTCAACATTGAGTATGGTCTTCAGATGACATCAGATCAGACAGCAGTAGTAATTAGACTAGATTTAATTTTAAAAATGTCAGTTTAAATCCATACATTCAACTCCTAGGTTTAGATTTTCATTTTAATTCCTTACAGTCTAATTTATAATGTAAACATGTCACATTATAATTACACTCTTCAACCAGAGACAGCACTGCAGAACCTCCACAGGGGAGCAGTGGCTTGGGTTTGAGGGAGGAAGGTAAATGTCACTACGTAAATTTACACGGACAGTTCTCATTGTAAATGTAAACACAGGAACTTACAAATGAATTATTTAGAAATTGTGAACATAATGACTTCTTATTCAGCTGCATTTCTGCTGGTAGTTTTACATTTACTCCTGCTCTTGAACTCACCACATTTCTTAACTGGAATAAAGACTGGGAGGTAATAATTCTCCAGTATGTCATCCAGAGCTCTAATTTTCACATGCAATCAGAGGACAATGAATATTCATTAACTATTTGATTATAGATGATCATTAGAGCCCAGATCCGCATGCCTGCATTCCCAGCAGAGAGTTAGTTAACCAAGAATAGAATCCTTTGCTGATGTTGCTATGCCTTAACCAAGGGAACCTTTTCAACTGCTAACGTTGATGAATTCAGTACCAAAATCAGACAGTAAATATTATCATAGACCCAAGAGATTATCAGTCAGTAAGGTTGCTGTCAAAGTTACTCATGACAGTCTGTATTACACTAACACAGGAAAAAGAAGAAATAAAAGCAAAATATGGAAATCTAAAAACAGAAATGCTGGAGAAATGCAGCAGGTCTGGCATCATCTATGCAGAGAGAAACAGAGTTAATGTCTCTAGTCCGATATGACTCCTCTGCAGAAGTCATATCGGGCTTGAAATATTAACTCCTTCTCTCTCCACAAACGTTGTCACATCTGTGAGGTTTCCCCAGTGTTTTCAGTATTTATTATACAAAAAATGAACGACTGATGCTGTGGATGGACCTGACCCCTAAATAAGCCAAGTTCCAATTTGAATGTCATGTCCCCCCCCCCCCCCCCCCGATGTTTTGAACCCCCTCAACAGCACAAATCCTTAAGAGTCACTTTGTTCCCCACCCTGAAGAACTTTTGTTGACCAGTTAAGAACTACCAGATTTATGGAATTCAAAATTTGCAACTTGATGGAATTTACCTGTAATTTGTGACCTGCGGTTACAGCAATGGGTTAGCATCCCATTCCCTGATCACACCCTATAGGTTCCAGCTATCAAAGCCTCACAATGCCTCAATTAGCAATGGCAGTACCCCATTGAAATTTAATTCAAGGATTCAATAGGCAAAGAGAGTCATTGTCATCCAGTGTTAGAGGCCTACAGCACAGAAGGCGGCCCTTCGGCCCATCGAGTGCGCACTGGTCAAAAAGCAACCACCTAACTATTGTAATCCCATTTTTCAGCACCTGGCCCAGAGCCTTATCTGGTGGGAAAGTCCAGCAGGAGGGGACGTAATTTTATTAGCCTGTTCACGGGCGATGTCAGGAAGCATTTCTTCAGACAGCGGCTGGTGAAAATTTGCGACGACCCCCCTTCTCCCCCCCCCCCCACACCCACACACACACACACACACACACACACACAAACACTAAGAGGCCGCAGATGCTGCTGAAAAATATTACAACCCGAGATTCATCAGGAGAGACTACTGAAGGATCTGGAACCAAGGCAGTTGGAGAAAGTTACGATACAGATCGAATAGATGACAGAACAGGCTCGATGGACCGAATAGCCTCCTCCTGTTCTGAGGAGAGAGGTGAATCAGGCAGCTTTCATACTGTTGTCTGCGAGAGCGGAGGGTGGGAATGGTGTTGGGAAGCGACAACCCCCCCCCCCCCCCCCCACTCCCCCTTCCAAGGGTCGCAGAACTCTGTGAGCAAGGTCACACAGAGAGTCAAGTCTATATCATGGGGAATGTGGGAGAGCCGCGAGGGATCACAGAAAACAATAAGATACCATCAAAATGGGATGCTTTACCTCTGGCTGCTGTTTATAAACAAGGTGAGATCAGCCTCACAGTCATCAGCTGGAGGCGCTTGAAAGGGGAAGACGCGCAGCGACTGTTCAATGTGTAACCACAGTTTTCAGACAACGCCTCCCTCTCCATCTGCCATTATTCCCGAAAGCAAAATTGCAAATTTCCCGAGACGGGCACCTGCTCAAGAATATATCTTTGCTTATAAATTATAAAATAAATGATTACTAGAAACCTCGTTTCTCATTCATCAGAGCTGATCCAAAGGACGGGATACGATACGGAAGAAATAAAATGTTTCCCAACTGAACTTCGGTAAAATCCACACGTTGTGGGAACACAAAGAATCGCGAATCATTAGCAGCGCTGGAACTGCACAAGAAAGGAACATCCTGTAGGATTAAAGGCTTGCCTTGTTACTTTTCTTCAACCCCCTGCCACTTTACAGTCACAAAAGTGCACTGACCTCTTCCAGCGCAGCTACCGTGTTCCTGCAGCTCATCATTTTCGAGGTAAAGTTGGAGGTGATCGGCGAGTTGATGTCCTCCAAAGTTTCACTCACAAACTCGGAGATGCTGATCTGTTCCGGCATTCTGACAAAAAAAAATTCTAACACTTTTTTTTAAAAATAAAACGAAAATAAAAGATCGCGATAGTTGTTTATCCAGAGCAGGGGAAACGCAGGCTGAATGAGCGAAAGTTACAAGCTGCGAATTCACTCGAGTCAATTTCAACTACAGGTCACTTTGTATCAAACTCTTCGCCTCAATCACGTGGAACTCGACTGGGATACAATTTAAAGCAACATTGTACCGCGCAGGAACACGCCAGGGAGGGGAAATCTGGGACTTCTTTCGCTCTATTTTGGAGTATGGTTTCCTTTTTGTTTCTGTGTCTACATTCTCTGCTCCCCAACATCAACTTTTCTTTTAAATCACCCTTTCTAAATTAACATTCACAAAATAATTTTCCTCCCTTCTTCCCGATTTTTTTTTTCTCTCCCATATCCTCCTGTCATCAGAGTGCTGCTTTCTCATTCAGGAAAAAAAGCAGGACTCCCACACGCATGTTTAGGGCTATTCAGCTGCGGAGGAATCACAGCCCGATTCTTTGCAGAGGGTGTCGCTGGAAAACAGTAAAGAGCAGGACCCTTATCTGATTCCCCTTCCTAAAGCAAGGTGATTTTTTGTTCAACTGTAGCTCTCAGACTAACTGGCTAATTTATGGGCTGAAAGCAGTTCTCTTCTGCTAGGGCCGCTGTCAGTACACGCCAGGCCACCGGGAGAGCTGAGAGGGAGTTTATTGCTGGAGGCTGGGGGTGCAGTATGTCAGATAATCCAACAAATGAAGCTTGTTGACATTTGCGTACCCCTTGCTAATTTCTCCTTGTCTTGTCGGAAGTGTGGGAAATTTCGCTGGAATCTGTGACAGCGCAGTTTCATCATTTCATTGCTGTGACTGCACATCGCAAAAAAATGCAACAAAAAAAATTCCAACTTTTCCCGATTGATCATGTTGCATCCAATTGCAATGCTTGTGCCGTAGCTCTCTGAAACAATGCCCAGACTGCCCAGTGCAGTACTGAGGGAATGCAGTGCTGTTGGAAGTGCCATCTTTCAGACGAAACATTAATACATCAAATAGAGGCCCTGTCTACCTTCTTGGGTGTTCGTAAAGATTCATCAATATTTTGCAGTTTGGATGTGTTTTTTTTTGTCATCGCAGTGGTGGATTCGTGTGATATGTTGCTTTGGTTTTAGTGAGTTTCCTTATTTAACATCTTTCAGTATGGTAGAGGGAAATTAGATGGGGTTGTGGTGGTAGGTCGAGGAGACCAGACCATCTGGAACTTCCTGGATGTAAACTTGGGGATAGGGTAGTGGGATGAAGCGTGGGCTGAGAGGCTTCTGAATATAGGGAAATCGACACTGATAACCAACACTATCCAATGTGGCCAAGACACTCCACAGTCTCCTATACTATTTACATCTATGCTATTAACCGCACATACAATTCCGGTACCTGCTCTTTTTAAACCTCCAATAAGAAACTATTCCAAGAATCGGCACTCTGTGTTAAGAAGTTCCTGGAATCATTCTTGCATTTGTCTTTCACTATTGTGTTCCCCACTGTCCTCGTCTCACTGTTTAATACTATTATTTGGATTGACCTTCCTGCACCCAATAACAAGTATTCCACTTTCAGAATATTTTATTATTTCCTTACAAGGAAAGAGCCTCTGACTTTATTAAATGGGAATCTGATGGGGTTGTGGGGGCACGGGGGTGTGGAGGTTGTATCCAGTAACGCTTCAAGATGGAAACTATTTGAGGGATTTTAGTACCCAATCGATCTTTCATAAACGTGGTCCCCTGGTTTCATTATTGTCTTGGAAATGTGACCGTCAGGTACAATGGATTTGAGGTGTGCATTTTATATGAAGACATTTACCAGCTCAGATTCTGTACCCATGCTTTTTTGTTCAAAAATATACTTTATGGAACATCTAACAGATTTAGATTTAGGTTTTATTGTCACGTATATTCAAGTACAGGGATACAGTAGTACAGTGAAAAGTTGCCATCTTAAGTACAAAGGTACCTAGGTACAAAATCTTAGGTACAAAAGTGGAAAAATAAAGACTGAAGTTAGAAAGTTCTACACTACAGTTCTTCTCAGTATAAAGTCGAAAAATTAAGAAGTAAAGTTAAAAGTTAAACATTACAGTCCTTTCTTAAGCCATGGGCCTGCAGACAGTCCATGTTGGGCTTTCCCCATGAGGACTCACACCCACATCCCCCTGC